CTCTCTACATGATGGTAACCCATGTCGTGCATGGCCACACGTGTTTTGATTAGGGCAACCAATCCTTGGTTTCCTTCCTGCACGTTACAGTAGTAGACCACCGAACAAATACGTTCTACTTGAGCTTGGTTATGTTTACGTCTCAGCAGAACTGCTCATCTAATGACCTGTTTCTTCTTCTTCAAGCTTTTCTTTTTCCTCTCGTTACAGGGCACATAGAGAAGGACAAGAGGAAACGTAGATACATCGTATCTGCTCATCATACTTGTGATGTAAGATATAACCCTACAAAACGCATCTGAGTAAACTTTGGTCATATTTAAATTGACTAGTGGATGAGTAGATGTGTATTCATCTCGATCAATGACTATGATTCTTCTATGTTGACGCAACCGAGAAACAGGCTGGAGGAAGAGATGGAACTGGCGAGTTCTTCTATCTTTGTCACATGAAAACAGGAATCGCAGCCCAAAGTAGAAATCGTCTATAATTTTATGGAGTCTGATTCTAAATGTCAGGGATCCTATCGATGAAGCACGTTCGTGCATATAGGAAACCTTCTGTTGGAAACCTTCGAGCTTTACTCCACCGATTAAGATGATAGATATCCTGTACTGTACGAGATCCAATTGTGAAGCTTGGTAGTCAAGCATGGTGGTTGGGCCCCCCACTAGGGATAGGTGGGCCCTGCCAGTGGACGTCTGTGAGGTGGGATTAGACGGTCCTAATCAAAAGAACAATTGAAAAGGATTGACATTAATGAGCAGAATCAATGCACGCAATATGCAAGCAGCGTTAGACTGTGTCAGATACCCCAGCAATTCAATACTTCAGTTGATAGATTTTATGATCGTGACGTGATTGGGAGAATATTATATTTAGGTTTGGGTCCTCCATGGAGAATATTATCGATCATTAGATTTGTGTCCTCCATTTGATATTTAGGTTGAAAGAAGAGATAAAAGTTGTTTCTCATCGGTCTGCTTCCATGGATATCGATCAAGACAGATAGGTATGAGTGATCTCCATCCTTATCGTCTTCTTGAATATTATTATCCTTTGCTATCAAGTATAAAAGCTCATTTTTAATATAATCAAGGGGTCACTTTTTACCATTGATGACTATACTTTATTAACTTTGATGTTAGAGAAATTGATTCGAAAAACCTCACCTCAGTCTTATACATGTGACACCTTAAATGATCTCCTTAGGAGTTTAATGTTTTCATCTCGGATGCACCTCGGATAACCTTGGGCACATGAGTCTAAATCACGTTAAACTGACTCGGACATCAACAATATCTTTTCGGACTATTAATTTTGTTCAGTTTGAATCGTCTCTTTTTCCGCTTTCCATATAAAACTAATCGAAATCTAATAATCTCTCTCGTTTAAAAATTTGATATTCTTATAAACGAAACATGATCAAGTCAATGGATGAATAGATTTTCCCTACTCAGCTTCATCACATGATTGACACTCTGATATCAATTGTTATAGATCTATCTTCCTCCTTTGTGTCGGTTGATCATTTTGCTTCCTTTTTTCTTTTTGTCATTCCCTTGTTCACGTCGTCCCTTCTATTTAGGGTTGAGGAAAAAGTAGATGATCAGCTCCCTCCTCCCCCTACACGTATCTCTTCCTCCTCTTATCCACCTCTTCTGCAATGGCGACAGTGATGAGCGTTATTGAAGAAGGTAAAGGAGGATGGTGAGATGAAATGTATCTCCACGTTGAGCCGACGTAGTTTTCCAAAGGACAAGGATGAGACGTAGACAAGGCACATAGCTCACTGTCTGCCATCTCCCCTCCTTGACCTCTTTGTCCAAATCAACGTCGAGTACAAGAATTGTCATTAGATCCTTTTCTGATCCACATATTAGATTTGGAGAAATTTAGAAGATCTCGAATTTTTCTTCTAACAACATCCAAGCCAATACAATGTCGGACTCCATCCACTCGAGTAGATGATAAGATTGACAATAGTTGTTAGCATAAAATTAATCATACTATCTGTAATACGAAAAAAAATTTATGACAAGATTGAAATTAAATAAAATTAGATCTAACAATATATTACGATAACTACTTGTTCAGAAGAATAAATCTTATCTGATCTACAAACACTCCATCATAGGATTTGAGATATTAATTTGCAAAGCGAAACTAGATCCTTCTCCTCTCTTTTTATCTCTTCCTATCTTTTCATAGGACCATCTAGATTGATGGATTATGGGACTAGGGGAGAAAGATTGAGAGAAAAACCTTGATCTCTCAACTACATTGAGATGCACATCATCCCTTGTTTAGCCGGTCCTGTTTAGACGAGAACAGAAGGTTTAGGATAAATTATTAGGAAATTTTTTTTTCAATAATCATAATCAGAATTTAATCATATCTATAATATATCTTATCTAATTAAACAGGATAACATAATCTAACAATAGTGACGTAATCAAGCGGGCAATGAAACGGATGTCAGCAATGGTCTGTCAGAGAAGAAGGCCTCCAAGTTAGCTGCAGTCAGCTGACAGAGGTCGGAAGACGACTCGAATGTTTGCATGGCCACATGAGGTGAAAGCACTACATTATCCACGCCAAAGAGCTCCTCTGGAACAGCAGGTTCATGCTCGAACACGTCGAGACCGGCACCGCCGATCTCGCCTCGCATCAGGCGTTTCACTAACTCTGCCTCGTCCACAAGAGCTCCTCTGCCCACATTGATGACGATCCCATCCTTCCCCAGTGCTGCCATAACATCCTTGTTGATGATGTGGTGTGTTTCATGGGTAAGAGCACAAGCTAGAACTAGCACATCACTTTGAGCTGCAAGATCAGCAACGCTGGGGACGTATGTGTATGGAAATTGTGGCTTTCTGCATCTTGAGAAGTATGAGATTGGACAACCAAAAGCTTGCAGCCTTTTAGCTACTTCAGATCCAATACTTCCCAGCCCTACAATGCCGACCCGCTTGCAACCCAACTGCAACCATTAAGCAGAGATCAACAACTTCTAGTGTTTTGATTTGTTTTGATTATAGCAGAGATCAAGAGCATACGTGCATAAAGTAATACTAAGATCATGATGCTCTCATGCAGTGCAGTAATTAATTAGACTTTTGGCGAATCTTCAACGCAAACTCGACTTGCATAGCACAAAGCTTCGTCTTCCGCATCTAATAGTCTCGAGAAACGTAATAGCACATGAAAGAAATAGAAGCGAAGGGGCAAAACTGGTGGACGGAACCAAACCTTGGAGCCGAGAGGGTAGTCGCCACCACGCGGCCACAGACCACGGCGGACGTACCGGTCGCACGCCGACACCCGGCGTAAAACGTCAATGAGTAGGCCGACGGCATACTCGGCGACTTCCTGGGAGAAGACGTTGCCGGCGTTGGCGACGGCGATGCCGCGGCGGGCGCACTCGGCGAGGTCGATGTGGTTGACGCCGGCGCTGGTGGTGCAGACGAAGCGGAGGGCGGGAAGGGCGTCGAGGAGGGACCCGTCGACGGTGAAGAGGTTGATGACGAGGAGGGCGCGGACGTCGGCGGCGTGGCTGGCGAGGAAGCGGTCTAGGGGCAGCGGCGACTCCCACGATTTCAGGAGCTCGAACCGCGCCGAGAGGACTTCGTCCAGGGCTGCAGAGGGCGGGCGGAGCAAGAGCAGCTGCGGCCGCTCTGTTTCCGGCCGACCTTGCGGCACCGAGCTCGACGCCATCGAACGGAAAGGGGCAAGGGAACGACCGGCAACTTAATATGGTGAGCGTTGACGTCATCGGCTTTGGGCTCCACCGTCCATTTGTCAGCCACGCAGGTGAAAAAAAAAAGTTTTGGGGACAGAATATACGGCTAAATACATCTATATTTAAAAAATTTATACTGGATTATCAAAGTTAAACATATAAGTCTATTTATCTTAATATCATCGATTTTATTGATTAAAACATATAAATAATAAATAATAATTTTAGCATCGGTTATAGATAACGTTGGTTGTGGTAGATGACGATGCCATTGGGGTTGCGAGAATTAAGAGCTCCTCTGTATTTACATCGATGTTGATACAGTTACCAAGGGGCTCTTTTATCGCTTTACATTTGTGTTAGCGTCGATACAGACATCGAGTGACCCTTTTACCAATCGATAACTATGTTAGCGCAAACGTAGTTGTCGAGCAACGCTGCTTTACATTTACGCCGGATCTATCGAGCGATGTCGCTTTGCATCTGTAGAGTGACTCTCATCTCTTACCGTCACTCTTTTAGTTCGTAACAACTACTTGTGATCTCTAACAATATAATCGTTTGTCACCACTAATGTCGTTCGCTATCACCAACTGAAATATTAAAATTATTATTTTTTATATTTTTTAATATTTTATTGATAAAACTAAAAATCTTATGATAAATAGAGCTAAATATTTTACTTTTATAATTATAAAAATTTTAATATAAAATTTTTAAGTCTACGAAATAATAAGAAGGTCTAACTATAAGGGTAATATGTAATAAATCCCAAAATATAAGTACAAAATAAAAAATATGTCTCTTTGATTAAATGTTTTTGGAGAAGTCAGATACGGTGACATATTACATTAACAGTAATATTTTAAGATAGAATCTTCTCTCTTTATCATTTACCTTAAAAAAATATGAAAATTTAATGCATGCCTCTCTTGTCTTTTATGTCTAATTAAGCAACTTAGAATGTATGCATCTCTTGCTTTTTATTTCCAAAAGATAATTTCGATTGCCTTTTCCTGGCTTCGTTAACGCTCATATTCCAAGTGAACGCATCATTGTGCACAGAAAGATGCGCTGTGCAAGTAGAATGTGACACATATTTTGTTGCTTATGTTTTAAATGGACACATGAGAAAATGCTTATGTTCTTGACAGACATATCATATACAAGAGATGTTTTACTTGGAACCGACTGGGAGTTCCTAAATAGATGCCATTTATTATCCAATTAAACATCATCAAACACAGAATTCGCATGGCCACTAATGCAAAAGTAAGATGTTTGCATTCGACATGCCAACACAACTGTCTGCGAACTATTTCAGTCAGTTATCAAAATGACAAAAGATTGTTAAGAATAATACGATCAAGTGCGTACCGAAACAGGAGTTAGTAATGGTCTGTCGGAGAAGAAGGCATTTAAGTTAGCTATCATCAGCTGACAAAGTTCGGAAGACATTTCAAGTGTATGCACGGCGAAATGAGCTGAAAGCACCACATTGTCCATGCAACAGAGTTCCTCCGGAACAGCAGGTTCGTGCTCGAACACATCGAGACCAGCACCGCCGATCTCCCTTTGCATCAGGTGTTTCACGAACTCAGCCTCGTCCACAAGAGCTCCTCTGCCCACATTTATAATGATCCCATCCTTCCCCAGTGCTGACATAACATCTCTGCTGATGATGTGGTATGTTTCTTCGGTTAGGGCACAAGATAGCACCAGCACGTCGCTTTCGGTGGCAAGATCGCGAACGCTTGGGAAGTATGTGTATGGAACGTGTGGCTTTCTGCTTCTTGAGAAATATGAGATTGAACAACCAAAAGCTTCGAGCCTTTTGGCTATTTCAGATCCAATACTTCCCAACCCTACAATGCCAACCCGCTTGCTGCCCAACTGCAAACATCAAGAGGAGATCAACATCCATTAGTTTTTTTGATGTCTACCCCATATAGACCCATGTTAGCTAGACAATGAATGCAGAATTGCATTATTCCAAATAACATAAAAAAAAATTAGCACTCAGCGAAGTTACATATGATTTTGCTGAATAATCTACAATAGACTTAGAAACTAATGCATATAATAGAAGGCAAAAAAGTAACCCCAAATACTAAGAACAACAAATTAAAGAGGCTCACATTTACAATGTGATAGATGAACTTCAAATACATAAGCAGGCTTGTTTCATTTTATCAAGAAAACACCAAATGTTCAAGAAATTAATATATCTATATCTTCTGAAAAGAATATTATATTGCACATTTTGCATTTGGTTTTAATAAAAACTGCATTTTTAATTGCATCAAACCACAACGAAAATAATAAAATATTTATTAATTAATTTCACAGAATAGATATATGATTTTCCTATTGATAAAATGAGAAAATTTTACTTTGATCTAGAGCTCAACACATGGATGGAAAAAACAAAGGACCTCAACCGGCAGCTCCACAACATTGACGATTTCCTAATAGAAATTATTAACCAGATATTTTCTATTATGTAAAATATTTCCCTAACCGCAAGCAGCTAAAGGAAGAGCTATAGAAAGTAAATGTGAGCATGGTTAATGAGGTTGGACCCTCTTTACACATTCTAATCTCACTTCGAGAATTTGACCTGACCGTCGGAGAGACCAAATCGGGATACCCCTCTCAATAATCTTGCGCCTTGGGATCGACACCACCTCGGGCGATTAAGACCTTTGTCTCGATCAAAGTTACTTGCGCAAATTGGGCTTTAACCAAGTCAAGCTGACTAACTCACTCAAAGGCGACCACCGACATCATATCATAACACTTACATAAATAGATTTGTGCAGTAACCAATATAGTTAACTTGTATACAACAACACAAGCCACCAATATATCTACATGAGGCCCAATCATTTTTGCACATCACTTTTCAATAATGTATTTTAAATGACTATCTTGGTCATTAACTTAGCTTCCTTGCTTACCTAGAAGCACACTGAGCTGCATGAGATATAAAAAGAGTCAAGTAGCCCATGAAAGATGTAAAGAACTCTGTGATCATGTCTCTTAGACAAAGCTAGGTTGAGCTGTTCCAAGGCATCTGATCTTCTTTATAGAAAATTTAGAAATATTATGTTTTATTGTCAGCACATCAAATCAGAATGCAGCAGAGAACTTTCTAAGATAAACCATGCCCTTTTGTCACGGCCTTAGTTAAAATTGCCTAAGGCGTGAGGCACCCTTGCGGCTAAGACATGAACTTAGCTTGCGTTGCCTAAGTCGCGAGACACCCTTGCGGCCAAGACGCGAACTTAGCTTGCGTTGCCTAAGTCGCGAGGCACCCTTGCGGCAAAGACGCAAACTTAGCTTGCGTTGCCTAAGTCGCGCTTCGCCCTTGCGATATTGCTCCGCAAAGATCAGCCCACTTGCAACCTCTCGCAAGTCCCGAAGGACCTGTAAAAGAGAAAGTTGATTAGTTCGAAAGAACGAGCGATGGACAAGTCCCGACGTCTCGCGAAAAGAGGGGAAGCTTTACAAGCAATTCAGCGAGCACCTTGCGTGCACAAGAGAAAAGAGGGAGAGGGGGAAAACAATGACTTTAGAAGGTTCAACGAACAACTGCAAGTCCACAAACAACTGCTCACCGGGTGCCGGGCGCGACAACAAGTTCCCGTCAAGGTAACGTGCGAACTTGCGAAAGGTTGTTCAACGCCCGACACTATACCGAAGCCCCATCCAACCCTGTGCCACCCTGTCACGGCCTTAGCTGGAATTGCCTAAGGCGTGAGGCACCCTTGCGGCCAAAGACGCGAACTTAGCTTGCGTTGCCTAAGTCGCGAGTCGCCCTTGCGGCAAAGACGCGAACTTAGCTTGTGTTGCCTAAGTCACGCTTCGCCCTTGCGATATTGCTCCGCAAGGATCAGCCCACCTGTAACCTCTCGCAGGTCCCAAAGAACTTGTAAAAGAGAAAGTTGGTTAGTTCGAAAGAACGAGCAACGGACAAGTCCCGAAGTCTCGCGAAAAGGGGAAGCTTTACAAGCAATTCAGCGAGCACCTTGCATGCACAAGAGAAAAGAGGGAGAGGGGGAAAACAAGGACTTTAGAGGGTTGAACGAACAGCTGCAAGTCCACAAACAACTGCTCACCGGGTGCCTGGCGCGACAACAAGTTCCCGTCAAGGTAACGTGCGAACTTGCGAAATGTTGTTTAACGCCCGACTCTATACCGAAGCCCCATCCAGCCCTGTGCCACCTGGGGGGTTCAAAGGGGCTGAGATGGCTGACGTTTTGGTGAGCGGAGGCGGGCTGCAGAAAACAGCCCGCGGCACACGAAAACAGAGCTGTTTTGGGGCTGTTTTGCTCGGTTCGATGAGCGGTCACTTTGTAGCGCTGCAACTTGTTCGAACTTACATTTTTACAAGCAAAATGACTCAAAACCAGGGCAAAACAGGCTGCCAAGTAGCTGTACATGTAGATGAGAGCGACGAATGGTTCGTTGAACGGAGTTGTTGCATGTGTGCGACGACCGTTCGTGACACTTTGTCAGTTTTTCATCCTCATGTCTTATTACTTACAAGCCTCAAACAACCATCAGCATTGGCATTATCTATGAAATGAGTATTAGATATTTTACAGGTTACTCAACCTCATACCATACAATCAGAGGTAACAAATGTGGTTATGCCATTGTGTATGTTTAGCATAACATGCAATTTAAATGTCCTGTCCTAAAGCAGGGAAAATAATTCATGTGCAAGACTGGAAAAAAAAAAAAACAAAGTTACTAATCATAAAATGGAGTATGAAGCTTTATCTTCACTAGATAATGGTTATCTAAGTATCATCATAACACTTTTCAAGTTATAGATCCTATAAAGAGGGAGCTTTATCCATTTTGCAATTAGGAGAATCATAATGACTAATGAACATCCAAATGGTCAGGCCTCCATAACAAAGAAAAATTATCAAGTTACATTTAGACAAGCAAGATTAAAGACAAAATACATGCCAACCACACTGTTCCTGAATATATTTGGATTAAATATATTAAAGAGAACAGAAAAGATGGGATCAGAAGGGGGTGGGAGGCTATGATTTTCTATAGTTAACAAATATAGCAATAAAATGTAACGTGAAAGTGAAAAGATGTTGTTTGGTTATTGAACTCAAGAGATAAAATGTGAAAAGTCAAAAGAAATCGAGAGATCTGATTCTATTTCAACATGCATTTCGTTTCTTTAAAAACATGGAGAAGTTAGAATAGAAGACAAAGTTTCATGCAGTTGTTTATTTCTCTATGGTCGGAACAAAAAGATAAGTGTATTTTACCTCTAATGCTTTATTCTTGGGGAGAAAAAGAAAGATTTGCATATTGTTTTTATTGACCTAGAGAAAGGCTATGAAAGGATTCCTAGAGATTTATTATGGTAGATTTTAAAAAAGAAAGGTGTATCCACTAATTATATTGATGTTATTAAAGATATGTACGATAATATAGCTACTAATATTAGAATTATAGGAAGTGTGCCTAGTGAGTTTCCTATTAGCATAGGATTACATCAATCATCCGCATTGAGTCCATACCTTTTCACATTGATAATTGATGAACTTACTAGTAACTTATATAATAAGCCCCCCGGTATATGTTATTTGTTGATGATAGTTGATGAAAGAATAAGTGGAATTAATTATAAACTTGAGCTATGAAAGCAAACCTTAGAAACTAAACATTTTAGATTAAGTAAGATTAAAACTAAATATATAAAATATATTTTTAATGATTTTAAAAATAAATGGGAGAATATAGTTAAATTGGATGGACAAAAAGTCACTTTAAGTAAGAGATTTAGATATCTTGGATCAATTATTCAATAAGATAAAAAGATCGATGAAAATATTATTCATAAAATAAAAACAAGATGGTTAAAATGACGAGGGGCATCACGAGTCTTATATGATCATCGAATATCTTTGAGATAAAAAGAAAAATTTTATTAGACAATTGTGAAACCAACAATGTTTTATGAATATGAGTGTTGGGCACTGAAGAAATAATATGTATAACATATACGAAATGAAAATATTGAAATAGATGTGTGGAGTTACTAAGAAAGATAGAAAAATAAATACTTTTATTCATGAACAATTAGATTTAGCTTCAATAGATAATAAGATGAGAGCAAATCGTTTACGATAGTATGGACATAAGCTTAGGAGACCTCCAATGTGATAGTCAAAAGATATGAAATAATCAATGCTAGTGGTACGAGGAGAGATAGAATAAGATTTAAAAAAACTTTAATAGAAACTATATATAATGATTTAAGCACTTTAAGCTTAACTAAATATATGGCTTTCTACAGATCTCAATGACGATAAAAGATCCATGTAACTGATAAGACCCTAAAGTCTTATCGTCGCTCTGATACCAAATGATAAGACCCTAAAGTCTTATCGTAAAAAAGAAAAAGAGAAAGGGGATGATCACTTCGAGGGGATCGGCCTCCTTGATCACTTCGAGGGGATCGGCCCTCCTTGATCGCTTCGAGGAGATCGACCCTCCTTGATCGCTTCGAGGGGATCAGCCTCCTAGGGTTTGTCAAAAGACATAATAGTATTTTTCATAGATTACCGAAAAGTAGTTACAGCCCTATTTATAGAGTTCCACCCAGAGTCCATCAGGACTTGAACTCTAATAATAAATAAATATTAAATAAACCTCTACTTGACTCTAACTGACTCAATAAACAACTGGACTAAACAAACTCAATAAACATTATTCAAAAGCTCAGAAAAAGAGTCCTAACAGTTCCTCCCTCTTCAAATCAGCCTTGTCCTCAAGGCTGAGCAGCATCAATCTCGGGGAGCTTCTCTTTCAACACTTTAGCCATAGACTATCTGCAACGCATCACAACCCGTTGATCAAGCATGGTCTCCACTTTTTGAGAGTGTAAGCAACAGGTCGATCTTTCAGTGTAGTAATCGTTGCATGAAACTTCTGACCCTGTATAATCAATTTTATCTTTGAACCTTTGCTATCACAAGTGAAAATCCGTCCATCAATGATCTTTACTTCGAATCTGTCATAGTCTTCAATGTGGTGGGCTAATTGGGCTGCAACTTTCCTGTCCATAAAATTATTAGTGCTATCTGTATCAATCAAAATAGTGACAGGTTGATGCTTCAAAGTTCTTTCGATTTTCATAGTTTGTGGGTTAGTGTAGCCAGCCAATGCATGTACTGTATGTGTGATGGCTTCAATATCTTCATTAGTTTTCATACCTTTATGATCGGAGTCCAATTATTTTACTTTCGATTCCTCTCTAATTGGCTCAATCATCAAAAGTTGCCCTTGTTTACATCGGTGCTCCATACTCCACTTTTCATCATAGTACAAACCGTTTGCTGATCTTTCCTTAAGTTCTTCTTGGGTTAGTCTTCGGGTGTCAAGCCTTTGGTTGGGAATAAATAGGGCTGGTGGCTTACTGATCATCTGGTTATTGTCACTTCTGTTTCCATGATTTTCCCTATTGATTTTTTTCTCATGTAGATATGCGAATGAGATTACAGCTATCATAATGCGAGGTTGACGAGCCTTAACTTCACACCGGATCTATGGAATAAGACCTTCAATAAATGTATCCAGAAGTTGTCGTTCCGACCAATCTCTGGCTTGATTTGATAATCTTTCAAACCTACTCTGATATTCCAACACTGTTGAAGTCTGAAATTTTTTTGAGAGATGTCCATTCACCTTCATGTATGAGTAGATTGTGTCATAATCTTGGGGCCCTTTTCTAGTATTTCCAGATCTGTACAATGTAGAACTTGAGCTCCCACCTTGTTGAAATTTCCTAAGGCTCCCCAGTAAGTCCTTTTTGAAATCATTAAGTACTTCTTGTAATCGGTTCTCAATTCTAATTTCCAATACATCCATTTGTACTTTCACTGAGTTATCGGTGGCCATTTCGTAAGACTACAAATCTGTAATCTCAACTCCTATTTTTGGTGTTGGTCAAGGGCATCAATCACTGCCCTATTTGGTGTTGCTATTGTGACGCAGTCGGTGGTAACACTATGAGAATGAAGGGTTGCTGCGAGGATGCAGGGATGTAGCTGCGGTCGTCGCGTGGGAAGCAACGATGCTTGTTGTGGTCGCTGCATAGAGGGATCGCTGTTGCTGAGGGCTTGGAGGCAGCGATGGTGGTACGGCTAGGGCAGCATCGCCAAGGGCTCACCGCTGCGATGGCTGCGACGGCGCGGATGGAAGGCAGCGTTGCTCTGTTTCTGTCACACTACGAAAGGAGGCGCTGGTGAGAGGCAACGATGCTTGTTGCAGTCGCTGCGTGGAGGGATCGCTGCTGTTGAGGGCTGGGAGGCAGCGATGGTGATGTGGTTAGGGGCAGCGCCGATAAGGACTCGCCGCTGCGGTGGCTGCGATGGAGGAAGAGTTGCTGCCCTTTGTTTTTGTCACTGTGTGAGATAAGAGCGCCGAGGCTGAAAGGCGACGATTATGACTGCTGTGACCCAAGGAAGCAATCGCCGAGCAACCGGGTTCCGAGCAGCCGGGTTGAGGCTGCGGTGATGCCAACCAACAACTGCAGCAGTGGAGGCAGAACAAGAGGGAGGTGGCGTTGAAGCGGCCGGGGTTGAGGCTTCAGTGGTGGCAATAGAGGAAGCTTTGTTTCTGCAACCGCTGCAAGGAGGGGCTGCAGCAACCGGCGGCTACGGCTGCGGTGCCGGCGGTCCTTCTCGCTCGAGCGAGATGGGGACGCAAGGAGAAGAGGTCGCTGGCCGAGTGATCGAGCGGCGGCGATGCGGCTGGGAAAAGTGGTGGTGACACGGTTGGGAACAAGGGCAATCTGTGAGTTGCCCTGTTTTGATCGTCACGAGGAGGGCGACAATCGGCGGCTGCGACTGTGACCCAAGGGGAGGCGGGCGACGGTGGAGAGGCAACGATGGTGGCGCGGCTGGGAGCGGCGTCACCAACGATCGTCGAGGAGGATAGGTCGAGCGGCTGCGCTGTGACGCAAGGGGAGGCGGGCGACGACAGTAAGGCTGGGATGGACGTTGGCAGCGTCGTCTCCTGGCCGGGGAACAGCGGCGGCAGTGGTCGCCGGTCGGGAAGCGGGGCGATGGTGGGCGCTGGCCGGAGAGCAGCAACGACGGGTGGGCTGGCCGAAAGCAAGGGACGCAGGGGTGGCTGCGGCTTTTTCTTCCTCTTGTGTCTTTTTTTTTTTTTTTGAACGAGATGGGGCAGCGAGGAGGTCGAGCGGTGGTCGAAGGTCGTTGGCCGGGGAAACAACGACAACGGTGAAGAAAGAGTTGCCTTGTAGTGGTGGTGGGGAAGAAGGGAAGCAAGGCTGCGACGGGCTGCGCCAAGGATCGTTGCTCTGATACCAAATGATAAGACCCTAAAGTCTTATGATCACTTCGAGGGGATCAGCCTCCTAGGGTTTGTCAAAAGACAGAATAGTATTTTTCATAGATTACCGAAAAGAAGTAGTTGTATCCCTATTTATAGAGTTCTACCCAGAGTCCATCAGAACTTGAACTCTAATAATAAATAAATATTAAATAAATCTCTACTTGATTCTAACTGAACCAAACTGACTCAATAAACAACTGGACTAAACAAACTTAATAAACATTATTCAAAAGCTCAGAAAAAAGATCCTAACAGTAACTAACCCCAAATAGTTAGGACTTACGGTTTTATTGTTATTATTGATGATGCTTTATTCTTCTCTTGCCACTTTTCTCCGATTCAAAATGAATTCAAAGACTCTTACGACTATAGAACAATGATAGCTAATACATTAAAGAAATTTTGCTTTGGACAAAACCAGGGTCCCCAAAAGAATTCATAAGGTTTTGCACTAATTTAGGGGATTTTTATGATATCCACTACCTAGCTTTGAAGATTGAAAAGGCCTAAAACATAGAACTGACAAGCTATTGCAATCACTGCTCACTCTAACCATCTTTTGCAATGGCTTTCAGAGGGTTTCATGGTATGAAAAAAAAATTAGATGACACAGTTTTTGTAAACTCAATCTCTTTCTTGAAAATGGACAAATTGACTACGTAAAGCTTTCTGGAAAAAAAAAAAATTCTCGATCGTTTTCCACTTGAAAATAAACAAATTTTTAGCACATAAGTATGAAAATTTTGTCGCCATAAAGGATACATGATAGTAAGACAGAATTGTAGGCATACAATACATTTTCTGCAAACCATAACCTACATATTTGGAGCAAACATTAGAATATCTTTTTCTTGCTATTTTTGCGATTAATCAAAGAATAACTTCATGACCATTAGTGAATTTAATATCCTCAAGAAACGTAATAGCAAAGGGGCAAAAAGGGTGGACGGAACCAAACCTTGGAGCCGAGGGGGTAGTCGCCAGCACGCGGCCACAGACCACGGTGGACGTACCGATCGGACGCCGATACACGGCGGAGAACGTCGATGAGTAGGCCGACGGCATAGTCAGCGACGTCCAGGGAGAAGATGGTGCCGGCATTGGCGACGGCGATGCCGCGGCGGGCGCACTCGGCGAGGTCGATGTGGTTGACGCCGGAGCTGGTGGTGACAATGAAGCGGAGGGCGGGGAGGGCGTCGAGGAGGGGGCCGTCGACGGGGACCAGGCCGGTGACGAGGAGGGCGCGGACGCCAGCAGCGTGGGCGGCGAGGAAGCGATCGAAGGGCAGCGGCGACTCCCACGGTCTCAGGAGCTGGAACCGCGCCGAGAGGGCTTCGTGGAGGACTGACAAGGGCGGGCGGAGCAACAGCACCTGCGGCCGCTCCGTCCCCCGCCGACCTTGCGCCTCCGAGCCCGAAGCCATTAAATGGGAACGGGAGTGGGGAGGCCGTACTTATCGTTGCTTAGTCTGTGACCTCCGTAGGGCTCAATCACGAGAAACCTTCGGCGGGCAATTTACGGAAACTTTTATCCGATGGCGCCTCATTTGATTTTTGCCAAAAAAATATTATTATTAATCATCTTTTTATTATTTATAATTTTATATTTAAAATTTTAACTTATATATATATCCTTAATTTATAATTTAGTTTCAATAAAATCTTTTTACTCCTTATCTATAATCTTTTTTTTTCTCCTCCTTATTTTAATTGTAAAAGATGACTTAAAATGACGAAAAAAACAAGTATAGGATGAACTAAATATTAAAGAGGATGAGATGAGTAATAATTTTTAATATTTATTATAATAAGTTAATATTTTTATGATTATATATATATATTATGTAATAATCTATAAGATATCATCTTATATATATATATATTATTTATGAACTGAAAAGATATTATATTTTGAATCTTTGTAAACTGCCCAATAGGGTGTGCAAAAGGTAGAAAAAAAAAGTAAATAGCAAAAACAAAATTAGAAGGATTGTAAATAGTAAAATATTATTTTATTACTTTTTAATGGGTTAGAAATGGTAAAAAATTTGTAAAGAGTAAGATAATATATATGTAATCTTATTTTCTCAATTTATTTTCTTAGTCCTCTTTTATTCTTTACCCCTCTCACACATGATAAAAATAAAGTATTTTTTTCCTCTATTATACTCAGTAAATATGCCTCATTTCTAGTGAGAATAGAAATCTCCTTTTTTGATTTTATTCTATTTTGCTTTCCCTAAGTCAGAATAATTTCGAAAAATATTTTTTGAGTAAAAACAATTATAAAAAGTTTTTTTTTTTTTGGATAAAAGCGAGTCGTTTAATAAAATCTCATATTTAAATATCACCTTTTTTTTGTGTTGAGAACTGTTGAGAAATACTCGAAAAAGGTCGCCTCACGTGCCCCGCGAGCGGGTTCGATGGACGGTGCGGCGACGGCTACGGAAACTGGGAACTGTGGAAGGGCTGTGGGACGGACGGCGGCCTCATCTCAGTCTGCCCTTTTCTGACAGCGGGACGTGAGCCTTTTGACTTGATCGGCCGACGGACAGCGTTCTTCCGTTAGCAATCACTGTCATCTTGCTTCAAATAATACTGCATCATGATGGGTGGCGAAAACGAGAGATGGGCAAAAGGCCAAGTGAAGTTTGACGTTAACCTGTCTTTTCCAGGGCACAAATGGTGGTGTGGACAGAGCGGGGAATCGAGTTGGGTTTCGCGTGCTCGGCGGACGAGGAGGGACGGGATCCCTGCGTCCGCCGGTCTCGACGCCCGCTCGCATTAAAAGTCGGAATATTGCGACCCCGAGGCAGCACTGCAGACGCCCAAAAGCGACCTCCCCCAGTCGTTCGATCAATTGCCTTGTGGCCTCTGAAAGCATCACTTCAAAATTCCACTTGCAAGCCTACCAGCGGCGGCGGCGGCCACTTGACCTCACCCTGTCTCGACTCGAACTGATGGAACAGCGAACACTCTGTTTCCTTTGGGTCCTCGCTTGATCTTGAGCTTGAAACCACATGAACAGATCCAGAATGCACTTCCAGGCGAACACTGCAGCACCACAAAATGATACAGAAGCCGATGAATCACGTAAGCTTTCAGCGGAACATTCATGCGTCCAAATAGAGAAGAATTAATGACGAGATACATTGTCCGTGCAATTGCTTTGAAACTAGCTTTGCTTGTCGAAGCAGATTGAAGCCGAGAGCCGCAGGTGGTCGATTTCGGCATCACCTGCTTTCGTTCTCGAGGCCAAACATCCACGTATCCGATTCCTACACCTCTCCTTCGTTTCCAACACCGAGTAACATTATTGCCAGCCCTGAACGTGTTCCGAAACAATGTAACATAAACGTCTCATCTATCCATATCCATCAGACAATAGATGGGACATCGCTTTGTCCCATGCGGTGTGATGCACTATATTTGTGACAGCGAGAGCTGGATCGAAGTCAAGGGTAGACAAAAGGAGCATCCTCACCATCCTCTTCTGTCCTATATAGCTGCACATTCCACCATACTTGCAAGACTTGCCCAAGAAGCCTCTTTCTATCTCACCTGTCCCCGCTCTTCCGAGGGCAGAATAAGACGAGGCAACTCCTTCGTCGAAGTCCTGTCCCGTTTGCGTTCTTTGAAGTGGAGATGGCCGTGGCAGCTCTTGGAGACGCCGGAGTGGTGCTGGGTGGAGGGAAGAGGAGGTTTAAGAGCCTCTACTGGAGGCTCAGAGCGGAGATAAGGAGGCAGCTGGCGAAAGGAAGGGAAAGCAAGCAGCGATTCAGCTTCCACTACGACCCTTATAGCTATGCGCTCAACTTTGATGATGGCTGCTCCGGCTTCCTGTCTCTGTAGCTTCTGCTTTCCCTGTTCTTTTAGGAAGGGTCTTGGTGTTCGTTTGGTCTGTCGACAGGGGAATGTTTTCCTGCGATGATGGTGGGTAGGTTGCCTTACTTTTTCAAGGCCTTTGAGAAGGAAGGAAGAATCCATGATGGCTCGTGAATGTTGATGTTTTCACTGGTGATGAGATTTGCTCTCTGGTCGTTTTCACTTCCCTTTAGTGTCTTCTTCAGAGCTTGATGCAGCAGAACAATGATCCATGGATTTATGCTTTCAGTGAGAAGATTTGCTCACTACATTTCACCTTCTTTGATCTGTCTGGTTCATTTCGTTAGAGAAGCCTACATCCTTAGCTGGAGAGAGAAGAAGAGAGAAGTTTGCTGCACTTGTAGTGCTCACAGCGGCACGATTAGAGTGGATGGCATCTCTTCCGAAGCATAGCTGCAACTAAAAAGAGCAAACCACGGTGAGGAAGCCATGTCATCTACTTGTAGCGACTAACTTTGGCTCCACTGTTGCTGTCTCTGCCGCGGACAATGTGTCTGCGGCAGGAGCAATAGAGGAATGGCAGGAGGCCATTATGGCTCCCCTGATCGTTGCATGCTGCTGCTTCTGCATGTCTCTTTGGCACCTCCTTTTTATGTGTAAACTGCATTAAATGAGATCACACATGCCGCAGCAGCGCAAAGAAACTTGGCAGAAGAGCATGTAGCATTCATTGATCACTGTTTGCAGGTCCTGCCGATTTCAACAGCAATTAGCACTCCAGTAAACTATAAAGAGGGAGGAGGTGTCATTTTGGAGAAAGATGAAGAAGAAGACGAGAAGACCATCAGAACCGAGATTTCAATCTTATTTTCTCTTCTGAACTAATAAAAATCAAATCTTTTTCCTGTATTTTTTGATAAGCAGATAA